CTCCTCCGCAGTGAGCGTTCGAACATTCCAGGTGACCACCCGTAGTGGTTTTTCGTTGTTTCTGGAGGAGCCCCGAGGGTAGATATTCAATCTCCTGGCTCCGCCAATTGGGGTTTGGCCAGGAGACGTCATAGACGCCTGGCCCCCCGGGGCCTCCGGCACAAGCTTATTTGTTAAATTTTTAAGTTTAAGTCGTAGTTTCGTGGTAATTTTTTGAAGGTGGAGGGGTTACCAGCCCCTCACACCCGTCCAGAGCCCCCGTTTAGCCCCTGTGGTGGTCACAGATGCCATGAGGGGAGGAACCAATCGGAATTGGCCCTCCCCCCACAGCACTGTCCACGACAGAGTTGCCCAGAGACACACAGACACTCAGAGACACACAGAGATACACAGATACACAGACACACAGAGACACAGAGATACACAGACACACAGAGACACACAGACACACAGATACACAGAGATAAACAGAGACACAAAGATACGGACTCACAGAGACAGACACAGAAACACACAGAGATACACAGTGTCCGATGGTACAAAATACCCAGGCAGGTGCTTAGTTTTGGTGGGGCTGATGGTAAGGCCCCACCTCTTAGTGGCACGCTCCAGTCTCAGCAGCAGCGTCTCCAACTCCTCCTCTGAATGAGCAGCTATTACCAAATCATCAGCATACATAACGTGGTTGAGCAATAGGGAGCCATCCCTTGACCGCACCCCGGCATCGATAAGCCCCCCATTATATCTGTACCATATGGAGATTCCCCCGGTACAGCTATTGAAGGCTTCACGAACTACGTGTTCAAAATAGATGTTAAATAATATGGGAGCCAGAGGACATCCCTGTCACACCCCAAGGTGTACAGGGAATGGATCTGACTCCCGGCCACGTTGTTTTACCCGGGCCCGCTCACCATCATGAAGGTCCTTAATGATCTTGAGCAGAGGGTCAGGTACTCCAAAAGCACGAAGAACAACCCAGAGCCCAGGCCTACTGATGGTATCATAGGCCTTGACCAGGTCAATAAAGCAGAGATGTAGGTCTTGTTGGAATTCCCTATACCTCTGCTGTAGCAGACGGACAGAAAATATGGCATCTGTGCAGGACCGCCCTTTCCTGCAACCACATTGGGGCTCTGCAAGCCTCTCCTCAGCGTGCCTGGCAAGGCGATGTTGAATAATCCTTGCCAGGACATTTCCCGGCACACTGAGGAGTGAGATGCCCCTGTAGTTGTTACAGTCTGTGCGGTCCCCCTTCTTAAAAAGGGGCAACACCAGGGCATCCTTCCAATCCTGCGGAACCCGTCCAGCAGTCCAGACAGTTGTTATGATGTCATATAGGGCAGTCTGTGCACAAACGCCACCCTCCCTCAACATTTCGTTTGGGAGATCATCTCTGCCCGCTGCCTTTCCTGGTCTCAGACTCCGGATCGCCTTCAGTACTTCCTCAACAGATGGCACCTCAGCCAGCCACTCACAGGGGGTGACTTCTTCCAATATGAGGCACCGCAGCCTCAGCAGGGTCATCCTCACTTTGTGCCACGATGTTTTCCTGGCTGAGGGATTTTCCTTCCCCCAGGACCTCACAGAAATGCTCAGCAAATCTGCAAACCTGTTCCTGGGGGTCGGAGATTGGATCACCGTTTTTTCCCCTAATGATGGTAATAGGTGTGGTGCTGCAGGTTACTTTTTTGATGGAGTTAAATAGAGATTTGTGATCGCGGGCCACTGAGGCAGACTCCATCTCCTCAGCAACCCGCGACCACCACCCATCCTTGCAGCGCCTCACGGCTCTCCGAACCTCCGAGCGAAGGTTGCGGTAAGCCTCCTCATTCTCTGACGTGGGATTCTGTAGCCGACGACAGTGGGCCTGTCGCTTTTTCTCAACCATCCTGAACACCTCCTCTGTCAGCCAGTGTCTCGGGGGAGGTCCTTACCGCGTACCCAAAGCAGACATTGCAGCTGCATGAGTCACAGTTCTAAACCTCGCCCATTTACCCTCGACATCAGGAAGAGTAGGGGACGATGCCAACCCCAGCCGCAGGCGATGATGAAATTCTCGCTTGCAACTTTCATCAGATAACCGAGACCAGGCCACTTTTGGTTGGAATGGGGTCCTGGGTGTACACCCACCACCGGAGCGGAAGAATGGGCGGCGCATCTTACAGATGACAAGTCGATGGTCAGAGGGCAGATCAGCTCCACGGTAGGTCCTGGTGTCAAGGACATGGGCTCGTATCCGCTGGTCCGTCACTATGTAGTCCAGCAGACGTTCGTGCTTGGACCCGGCATGCATCCATGATGTTGTGTGGATGCGCCGATGCCGGAACAGCGTGTTGGTAATTACAAGTCCATGGGCTGCACAAAAATCTACCAGCCTCCTACCGTTGTTATTAAGCTGATCCGGCCCATGCCCTCCAATCACTTCAGGCCAGGTGCCAGCATCATGATCAACTCGGGCATTGAAGTCACCCAACAAGATGACTCTATCCCGAGGGGCCACTTTAGCCAGCACCTGTGACAGGAGGTCATAGAAGGCATCTGACTCATCAGCTTTGCCTGCATCCCTCCATGGATGTTCGTCTTCGTTGGGGGTATAAGTAACCACGACCACCAATCCTCGCCTCCGATTGATGGGAAGGCGAGCCCAAAGTTGCCTGGGGCTTACAGCTTCCCACATCTCACCGCCACGCTCCCACGCCCTCTTCATTCTTTTGTTCAAAAGAAGAGCCACACCCTGTTGTTTGGCAGTCTGCTGCCCCGAGTAGAGGACTGTCCACCCCTCATGGTGGCAGGAGCCAGAGCCGGTCCACCGGACCTCCTGAATGCCACATAGATCCAGGCGGTACCGGTCCAGCTCCCGACAGAGGAGTGGCAGCCTCTCCTCCGCAGTGAGCGTTCGAACATTCCACGTGGCCACCCGTAGTGGTTTTTCGTTGTTTCTGGAGGAGCCCCGAGGGTAGAGATTCAATCTCCTGGCTCCGCCAATTGGGGTTTGGCCAGGAGACGTCATAGACGCCTGGCCTCCCGGGGCCTCCGGCACAAGCTTATTAGTTATATACTTAATTCCTGGTTTAGTGGTAATTAATTGAAGGTGGAGGGGTTACCAGCCCCTCGCACCCGTCCAGAGCCCCCGTTTAGCCCCTGTGGTGGACACATATGCCATGAGGGGAGGAGCCAATCAAAATTGGACCTCCCCCCACAGCACTGTCCACGACAGAGTTGCCCGTCCGACACAGAGATACACAGAGACACACACAGAGACACACGGACACACCGAGACACACAGAGACACACAGACACACAGAGACACACACAGACCGATGCGTCGATGTACAGGGCGCAGTAAGAAAGGCTTTATTAGTGCTGATCGTTAACAATAAAGAACTTGAACAAACATTCGCAGTTACAGCATCCGTCGAGTAAAATAACAATAACCGGTGGTAATAATATTACAAACATTAACGATGGCGGTGGTGACGGTGGCGATGGCGGAGGTCATTGTGATGGCAATGATGATGGCGATAGTCTGTGTTGAACTTCTTTCGCACCGTACGTAGGCCAAAGCGCGCTAATCGGAGGTGCAGGGCACAATGATGGTGACGGTGATGGTGACGATGATTGCAAGGACGATGATGGTGGTGGTAATGATGGTGGTAATGATGATAGTGGTAGCGATGATGGTGATGATGATGGTGATGTGTGGCGAGTCTATGCGTCTCTGTTTGAGTCTCTACTTGAGACTCCGATCGAGTGAGTCTCCGATTGAGTGAGTCTCTGTGTGAGTCTCTGAGTGAGTCTCTGAGTGGCGAGTCTATAAGTCTCTGTGTGAGTCTCCGATTGAGTGAGTCTCTGTGTGGTGAGTCTATAAGTCTGTGTATGAATCTCTGAGTGAGTCTATGAGTGAGTCTCTGTGTGAGTCTCTGAGTGGCGAGTATATAAGTCTCTGTGTGAGTCTCCGATTGAGTGAGTCTCTGTGTGGTGGGTCTATAAGTCTGTGTATGAATCTCTGAGTGAGTCTCTGTGTGAGTCTCTGCGTGAGTCTCTGAGTGAGTCTCTGAGTGAGTCTGAGTGAGTCTCTGAGTGAGTCTGAGTGAGTCTCTGAGTGAGTCTCTGTGTAAGTCTCTGAGTGGCGAGTATATAAGTCTCTGTGTGAGTCTCCCGATTGAGTGAGTCTCTGAGTGAGTCTCTGTGTGGCGAGTCTATAAGTCTGTGTATGAATGTCTGAGTGAGACTCTCTGTGAGTCTCCGTATGAGTCTCCGAGTGAGTCTTTGAGTGAGTCTCTGAGTGAGTCTCTGAGTGAGTCTCTCTGTGAGTCTGAGTGAGTCTGAGTGAGTCTCTGAGTGAGTCTGAGTGAGTCTCTGAGTAAGTCTCTGAATGAGTCTCTGAGTGAGTCTCTGTGTGGTGAGTCTATAAGTCTGTGTATGAATGTCTGTGAGTCTCTGTATGAGTCTCCGAGTGAGTTTTTGAGTGAGTCTCTCTGTGAGTCTGAGTGAGTCTGAGTGAGTCTGAGTGAGTCTTTGAGTGAGTCTCTGAGTGAGTCTGAGTGAGTCTCTGAGTGAGTCTCTGAGCGAGTCTGAGTGAGTGAGTGAGTCTCTGAGTAAGTCTCCGTGCGAGTCTCTGTGCGAGTCTCTGAGTGAGTCTGAGTGAGTGAGTGAGTCTCCGAGTGAGTCTCCGAGTGAGTCTCCGAGTAAGTCTCTGTGTGAGTCTCTGAGTGAGTCTCCGTATGAGTCTCCGAGTCCCACCCAAGTGCCTCAGCCACGTCTCATCGTGAACCCCCCCGCCCGCCCCCCCCCCCCCCCCCCCACCTTCACCTCCAAGGCCTCCGCTGCCGGGCCTTGCCCACTCCCCCCACGCCCCCCCCCAGCGCCAGCGTCACCGCGCTGGCGCCGAACCTGGGCCTGCTCGGCGTGCCCACCGGCGTCCGCGCCAACCTCCTGGGGCGACCCCAGCCGCCCACTCCCCCTCCTCCTCCTGCCGCCGCCGTCTCGGCCCCCACCGCCCCCGGCGTCGCCGTCGCCTCGGCGTCGCCGCCGGCGCCGCCGCCGCCGCCGCCGCCCGGCGCCCGGCCCCGGTACCTCGGTATCCGGCTTGGAGCTTCCACCGCCTCAGCGTCGCCGCCGCCGCCGCCGAACTTCCAGCCGCCGAGGCTCGGCGCCAGCGACGCCGCGGCCGCGTCCAGCGCCAGCGCCGGCGCCGTCAGCGCCGCCACCAGCGCCCGCAGCGCCGCCGGCGGCCCCCCCGCCCCCGTCGCCGCCGCCCCGTCGGCCCGGCACAGCCGGGACGGCACGGGGATCCGGCTGCGGCCGCCGCCGGCCCGCCGTCCGGCGCGCGGGAACAGGCGGAAGAGGCTCCCCTCGCTCGCCAGGCCCAGGCGCTGGCAGAGCGCGAAGAGCGGCCGCGGGAGGGCGAACGACGCGGCCAGCCAGGCGCGCGCCGCCCGGCGCCGCAGCCGGCCGCCGGCGCCGGCGAATCGCGAGTCGTCGAGGGCCTCGTCCGGCCGACCCCACCGCCGCCCTCCTCCTCCTCCTCCTCGTCGCCGCCGCCGGACGACGAGGAGGAGGAGGAGGAGGAGGCGGAGGGCGGCGGCGGGCAGCAGCGCCAGCGCCAGGGCGGCGGCGCCGGCCCCCAGCGCCGCCGCCGCCTCCGCGGGGGCCAGGCCCAGCGGCCAGCGCAGCGCCGCCAGGGCGAGGGCGGCGCCGGCGAGCACCAGCTGGGCCGCCAGCGCCGCCCTCGCCACCGCCGCCCCCCTCGTCCCCCTCCGGGTCGGCGGCGTCGGCGTCGGCGTCATCGGCGCCGGCGTCGGCGCCGGCAGGCAGAGCGCCACCGCGCAGGAGAGCAGCGCCAGGGGGGCGCCGGCGGGAGAGACGGCGCCGGCGCCGGCGAGGACGAGGAGGGGGAGGAGGAGGAGGAGGAGGAGGGGGAGGGGGAGGAGGAGGGGGCCGCACGCCAACCCCGCCGGGGTCTCGCTCGCTACCCCGGCCGCCGGCAGGGACACCGCCGGGCGGCTCTCCACGCCGGCGGCGGTGACGTCGCCTGCCGGCTCCTCCTCCGGCTCCTTCGCCGCCGGAGCCACTGCCGGAGCCGGAGGAGGAGCCGGAGGAGCTGCGTCCGGCGGCGGCGTGGACGGCGATGGCCGCCGGGCGACGTCGCCGAGGGAGGGCGCCGGCCGCGGCCGACAAACGGCGGCCGCGGCGGTCCCCGGGGACAGGCGGCGGGAGGAGGAGGAGGAGGAGGAGGAGGAGGAGGAGGAGGCCGCCGGTGGGGTGCAGCGGCCGTCCGGGCTGCCGCGCTCCTCCCTCCCGCCGGCTCTCACCGCCACGGCGCCGCCGCCGCCGCCGCCGCCGCGGCCGCGGTCGCCGCGGTCGTGCCGGGGGGGGGCCTCCGCCTCCGGTGTGCGGTCCCAGCAGCCGGAGCTGCGGGCCGGCGGCGCCGACCGCTGGGGAGGCCTCGGGGGCCTCCGCTTGGGCAGCTCCACGGCGTGCGGGGAGGAGGTTCTGGTGGCGCCGGTGGCGGTGGTGGTGGTGGTGGTAGCTCCGGTGGTGGTGGTGGTGGTGGTAGCTCCGGTGGTAGTGGTGGTGGAAGTAGCTCCGGTGGTGGTGGTGGTGGAAGTAGCTCCGGTGGTGGTGCCGGTGGTGGCGCCGGTGGTGCCGGTGGTGCCGGTGGGACTTGGCTGGCGCTCCACCGAGTGTCCGCCAAGCCAGCTCACTCGCTTGCGTGGGTCCTGCGCACAAGAGGCAAAGGTGCCCCGGGTAGCCTCTAGCGGTGGCTGAAAGGGTCAAGTGCAGCAGCGGCGGCAGCAGCAGCAGCGCCTATGAAGGCCGGCAGGGGTCCGGGATCGAAGCCACGACCTCCCGCGTGCCGGGCGAGGGGCAGACACAACATCCTCCTGGTCACCAAACTCACCGTGGTTGCCGGGTGCCGTGGAGGTCTCCGTAGCCGTAGCGACGACGACCTCGTGACCCCGTGACCTCCGACCTCGCGCCTTGCCACCTGACCCAGGGGCAGATGCTCCAGGGAGCCCGAGGGCTGAGGGGGGGTGAGGGGGGTGAGGGGTGAGGGGGGTGATAATAACAACTCGGTGCTACCCATAGACTCAACACCACCACCACAATTGTCACCACCAACAACCAACAACCGCCATTCGCCACTAACTCCAATTGCACAGTAGCAGCGTCCTTCACGAGCCTCCTCCACAGAGGCCAATCTTGACACCGCTGGTACCGGTCATCGGCAAGTCCACTCAGCTCCACGTCCTCCTGTACCACATCACTCCATCTCTTCTCTAGCCCGTGCCGCGCCCGCTTAGCCCCCTCAATCCGGCCAAACAAAAGCTGTTTCAGCATGCGGTGGCTGGGCATGCGGGCTACATGACCCAGCCAACGCAGCCTTGCCTGCCGGAGGAGCTCACCGATGGGACCTTGCCCAGATCTTTCAAGGATTTGTGAGTTCCTCACACAATCCAGCCTGGTCACACCCAGGATGCATCGGAGGAATGCCAGCCCAAATGTTTCCAACCGGCGAAGATGTTCCATTAGGGGGGTCCATGCTTCGCAAAGCGTAGAGAAGGGAGGAGGTACAAAATACCCAGGCAGGTGCTTAGTTTTGGTGGGGCTGATGGTAAGGCCCCACCTCTTAGTGGCACGCTCCAGGTTCAGCAGCAGCGCCTCCAACTCCTCTTCTGAGTGAGCAGCAATTACCAGATCATCAGCATACATAACGTGGTTGAGCAATAGGGAGCCATCCCTTGACCGCACCCGGGCATCGATCAGCCTCCCTTTTGTATCTGTACTAAATGGAAATTCCTCCAGTACAGCTATTGAAGGCTTCACGAACTACGTGGTGGAAATAGATGTTAAATAATGTGGGATCCAGAGGACATCCCTGTCGCACCCCAAGGTGTACAGGGAATGGCTCCGACTCCCAGTCATGTAGTTTTATCTGGGCCCGCCCACCATCATGGAGGTCCTTAATGATCGTGAGCAGAGGGTCAGGGACTCCGAAAGCATGAAATATCCAGAGCCCAGGCCTACTGATGGTATCAAAGGCCTTGAACAGAATTCCCTACACCTCTGCTGTAGCAGACAGACAGAAAATATGGCATTTGTGCAGGACCGCCCTTTCCTGTAACCGCATTGGGGCTCCGCAAACCTCTCCTCAGCGTGCCTGGCAAGGCGATGTTGAATAATCCTTACCAGGACCTTTCCTGGCACACTGAGGAGTGAGATGCCCCTGTAGTTGTTACAGTCTGTGCGGTCCCCCTTCTTAAAGGGGGGGACCACCAGGGCATCCTTGCAATCCTGCGGAACCTGTCCAGTGGTCCAGACTGTTGTTATGATGTCATATAGGGCAGTCTGTGCACAAACGCCACCCTCCCTCAGCATTTCGCTTGGGAGATCATCTCCGCCCAGTACATTTCCTGGTCTCAGACTCTGGATCGCCATCAGTACTTCCTCAATAGATGGCACCTCAGCCAGCCACTCACAGGGGGTGATTTCTTCCAATATTTGAGGCACCGCAGCCTCCGCAAGGTCATCCCCACTTTGTGCCACGATGTTATCCAGGCTGAGGGATTTCCCGTCCTCTAGGACCTCACATAAATGTTCAGCAAATCTGCAAACCTGTTCCTGGGGGTCAGAGATTGGACCACCGTTCTTTCCCTAAATGGTAATAGGTGTGGCGCTGCAGGTTACTTTATTGATGGAATTAAAGAGCGATTTGTGACCATGGGCCATTGAGGCAGACTCCATCTCCTCACCAACCAGCGACCACCACCGATCCTTCCAGCGCCTCACGGCTCTCCGAACCTCCGAGCGAAGGCTGCGGTAAGCCTCCTCATTCTCCGACGTGGGATGCTGTAGCCAATGAGAGTGGGCCTGTCGCTTTTTCTCAACCATCCTGAACACCACCTCTGTCAGCCAGGGTCTCGGGGGAGGTCCTGACCGCGTACCCAAAGCAGACATTGCAGCTGCATGAGTCACAGTCCTAAACCTCGCCCATTTACCCTCGACATCAGGAGGAGTGGGCGACGATGTCAACCCCAGCCGCAAGTGATATTTAAATTCTCACTTGCAACTTCATCAGCTAGCTGAGACCATGACACTAAGGGTTTGAATGGGGTCCTGGGTGTATACCCACCACTGGAGTGGAAGAAAGGCAGGCGCATCTTACAGATGACAAGTTGATGGTCAGTGGGCAGATCAGCTCCACGGTAGGTCCTGGTGTCAAGGACATGGGCCCGCATCCGCTGTTCCGTCATTATGTATTCTAGCAGATGTTCTTGCTTGGACCCGGCATGCATCCATGATGTTGTGTGGATGCGCCGATGCCGGAGCAGCGTGTTGGTTATTACAAGCCCATGGGCTGTACAAAAATCTAGCAGCCTCCTACCGTTGTTATTGGGCTGATCTGGCCCATGCCTGCCAATCACTCCAGACCAGGTGCCAGCATCATGACCAACTCTGGCATTGAAGTCACCCAACAAGATGACTCTATCCCGAGGGGCCACTTTAGCTAGCACCTGTGACAGGTGGTCATAGAAGGCATCTGACTCATCAGCTTTGCCTGCTTCCTTCCACGGATGTTCGTCTTCGGTGGAGGCATAAGTAACCACGACCACCACTCCACACCTCTGGTTGATTGGAAGGCGAGCCCAAAATAGCCTGGGGCTTACAGCTTCCCACACCTCACCGCCATGCTCTGACGCCCCCTTCATTCTTTTGTCCAGAAGAAGAGCCACTCCCTGTTGTTGGGCAGTCTTCTGCACCGAGAAGAGGACTGTCCACCCCTCACGGTGGCAGGAGCCAGAGCCGGTCCACTGGACCTCCTGAATACCGTCGAGATCCAGGCGGTACCGGTCCAGCTCCCGACAAAGGAGTGGCAGCCTCTCCTCCGCAGTGAGCGTTCGAACATTCCACGTGGCCACACGTAGCGGCTTTTCGTTGTTTCTGGAGGAGCCCCGAGGGTAAAGATTCAATTTCCTGGCTCCGCCAAGTGGGGTTTGGTCAGGAGAAGTCATAGACGCCTGTCCCCCCCGGAGCCTCTGGCACAAGCCTATTAGTTAGATATTTCAGTCGTGGTTTAGTGGTAATTAATTGAAGGTGGAGGGGTTACCAGCCCCTGGTACCCATCCAGAGCCCCCGTTTAGCCCCTGTGGTGGTCACAGACGCCGAGGGGAAAGGCCACTCGGAATTGGCCCTCCCCCCACAGCACTGCCCACGACAGCGTTACCCGTCCGGCACCATGAGGAAGTAGGGGGTTGTTTTTCTCCACCACCACCACCAGCACCACCATCACCACTACTGTCACCACCACTGTCACCACCACTACCCACCACCATTACAACCACCACCACCACAACCGTCACAACCACAACTGTCACAACCACCAATCCCGTCACAACCACCATTGCCACTGCAACCACCACCACAATCACCACCACAACCGTCACCACCACCGTCACCACAGCCGCCACCACCGTTACAACCACCACCACAAACACCACCACCGCAAACACCACCACCACAAGCGTCACCACCACCATTACCACAACCACCACAACCACCACCACTGTCACCACCACCACCACAGCCACAAGCGCCACCACAACCACCGCCACCACCACCACTGCCAACACAACCACGACCACAACCACCACCACTACCACCACCGCCAACACAACAACCATCACCACTACCACACCCGCCACCACCACAACCACCACCACCGCCAACACAACCACCACCACCACAACCACCGCCACCACCACCACAACCACCACCACCACCACCGCCAACACAACCACCACCGCCAACACAACCACCACCACAACCACCACCACCGCCACCACAACCACCACAACCACTGCCAACACAACCACCACCACAACCACCGCCACCACCACCACCACCACCACCGCCACCACCACAACCACCACCATCACCACCACCACCACCACCACCGCCACCTCCGCTACCTTCAAGCCACCACCACCCCTGACTGCGCCTCTCCCGGCACTCTCCCCACTCCTCCTGCGTACAGCAGCAGCTCGGCATCCCCGGATGGACTCGTCCTCGGCCAGGGGAACGTCCTGGGGACGCTCCTCGCCCTGAGGGTCACAGAGGGCCGTGCTGTCATAGAGGCGTGGCCCCGCAAGCGGGGAGCTCGGCTCACCGCCGCACAGCCGCAGGCCCACAGAGACCCATAGAGACCCATAGAGACCCATAGAGACCCATAGAGACCCATAGACACTCATAGAGAAACATAGAGACCCATAGAGACCCATAGAGAAACATAGAGACCCATAGAGACCCATAGAGACCCATAGAGACCCATAGAGAAACATAGAGACCCATAGAGAAACATAGAGACCCATAGAGAAACATAGAGACCCATAGAGACTCATAGAGACCCATAGAGAAACATAGAGACCCATAGAGACCCAGAGACCCATAGAGACCCATAGAGACTCATAGAGAAACATAGAGACCCATAGAGACTCATAGAGACCCATAGAGACCCATAGAGAAACATAGAGACTCATAGAGACTCATAGAGACCCATAGAGACCCATAGAGACTCAGAGAAACATAGAGACCCATAGAGAAACATAGAGACCCATAGAGACTCATAGAGAAACATAGAGACCCATAGAGACCCATAGAGACCCATAGAGAAACATAGAGAAACATAGAGACATACAGACTCATAGATACCCATAGAGACCTACAGACTCATAGAGACTCATAGAGACCTACTGACTCACAGAGATTCATAGAGACCTACAGACTCATAGAGACTCATAGAGACCTACTGACTCACAGAGACCCATAGAGACCTACAGACTCATAGAGACTCATAGAGACCTACTGACTCACAGAGACCCATAGAGACCTACAGACTCATAGATACCTACAGACTCACAGAGACCCATAGAGACCTACTGACTCACAGACTCATAGAGACCTACTGACTCACAGAGACTCATAGAGACCTACTGACTAACAGAGACACATAGAGACATACAGACTCATAGAGACCCATAGAGACCTACAGACTCATAGAGACCCATAGAGACCTACAGACTCATAGAGACCCATAGAGACCTACAGACTCATAGAGACTTACAGACTCATAGAGACCCATAGAGACCTACAGACTCATAGAGACCCATAGAGACCTACAGACTCATAGAGACTCATAGAGACCTACAGACTCACAGAGACCCATAGAGACCTACAGACTCACAGAGACCCATAGAGACCTAGACTCATAGAGACCCACCATGAAGACCCACAGAGAGACGCAGAGAAATACCTCAAGGAGGTGGTCGTGACGGTCGGAGTTAGCCCTGGCGGCTGGTTACCTGTGCCGTAACCATGGAGACACCATCGCCATCACCGACACCATCGCCATCACCGACACCATCGCCATCAGCGCCACCGCCACCACCGCCATCACGGTCAGCGTCGGTCACTTGGGGCCGGTTCTGCGTCACTGTCGATCGCCAGGTCGACGCAGATCCCACATCTATGGGAGGGTTACGGGGTCTCCATGTGAGTCTATGGGTAGCAGTGTTGAGTCTATGGGTAGCAGTGCTGAGTCTATGGGTAGCAGTGCTGAGTCTATGGGTAGCAGTGCTGAGTCTATGGGTAGCAGTGCTGAGTCTATGGGTAGCAGTGCTGAGTCTATGGGTAGCAGTGCTGAGTCTATGGGTAACAGTGCTGAGTCTATGGGTGGCAGTGCTGAGTCTATGGGTAGCAGTGCTGAGTCTATGGGTAGCAGTGCTGAGTCTATGGGTAGCAGTGCTGAGTCTATGGCAGTGCTGAGTCTATGGGTAGCGGTGCTGAGTCTATGGCAGTGTTGAGTCTATGGGTAGCAGTGCAGAGTCTATGGCAGTGTTGAGTCTATGGGTAGCAGTGCTGAGTCTATGGGTAGCAGTGCTGAGTCTATGGGTAGCAGTGCTGAGTCTATGGGTGGCAGTGCTGATTCTATGGGTGGCAGTGCTGAGTCTACAGGTAGCAGTGCTGAGTCTATGGGTGGCAGTGCTGAGTCTATGGGTAGCAGTGCTGAGTCTATGGGTAGCAGTGCTGAGTCTATGGGTAGCATTGCTGAGTCTATGGGTAGCAGTGCTGAGTCTATGGGTAGCAGTGTTGAGTCTATGGATAGCGGTGCTGAGTCTATGGGTGGCAGTGCTGAGTCTATGGGTAGCAGTGCTGAGTCTATGGGTAGCAATGCTGAGTCTATGGGTAGCAGTTCTGAGTCTATAGGTAGCAGTGCTGAGTCTATGGGTAGCAGTGCTGAGTCTATGGGTAGCAGTGCTGAGTCTATGGGTAGCAGTGCTGAGCCTATGGCAGTGCTGAGTCTATGGCAGTGCTGAGTCTATGGCAGTGCTGAGTCTATGGGTGGTAGTGCTGAGTCTATGGGTGGCAGTGCTGGGTCTATGGGTAACAGTGTTGAGTCTATGGCAGGGTTGAGTCTATGGCAGTGCTGAGTCTATGGCAGTGCTGAGTCTATGGGTAGCAGTGCTGAGTCTATGGGTAGCAGTGCTGAGACTATGGGTAGCAGTGCTGAGTCTATGGCATTGCTGAGTCTATGGGTAGCAGTGCTGAGTCTATGGGTAGCAGTGCTGAGTCTATGGGTAGCAGTGCTGAGTCTATGGGTAGCAGTGCTGAGTCTATGGGTAGCAGTGCTGAGTCTATGGGTAGCAGTGTTGAGTCTATGGGTAGCAGTGCTGAGTCTATGGGTAGCAGTGCTGAGTCTATGGGTAGCAGTGCTGAGTCTATGACAGTGCTGAGTCTATGGGTAGCAGTGCTGAGTCTATGGGTAGCAGTGCTGAGTCTATGGCAGTACTGAGTCTATGGGTAGCAGTACTGAGTCTATGGGTAGCAGTACTGAGTCTATGGGTAGCAGTGCTGAGTCTATGGGTAGCAGTACTGAGTCGATGGGTAGCAGTGTTGAATCAATGGGTAGCAGTGTGAGTCTATGGCAGTGTTGAGTCTATGGGTAGCAGTGCTGAGTCTATGGGTAGCAGTGCTGAGTCTATGGCAGTGCTGGGTCTATGGGTAGCAGTGCTGAGTCTATGGGTAGCAGTTCTGGGTCTATGGGTAGCAGTGCTGAGTCTATGGGTAGCAGTGCTGAGTCTATGGGTAGCAGTGCTGGGTCTATGGGTAGCAGTGTTGAGTCTATGGGTAGCAGTGCTGAGTCTATGGCAGTGCTGGGTCTATGGGTAGCAGTGCTGAGTCTATGGGTAGCAGTGCTGAGTCTATGGCAGTGCTGGGTCTATGGGTAGCAGTGCTGAGTCTATGGGTAGCAGTGCTGAGTCTATGGGTAGTGGTGCTGGGTCTATGGGTAGCAGTGCTGAGTCTATGGGTAGCAGTGCTGAGTCTATGGGTAGCAGTGCTGGGTCTATGGGTAGCAGTGTTGAGTCTATGGGTAGCAGTGCTGAGTCTATGGCAGTGCTGGGTCTATGGGTAGCAGTGCTGAGTCTATGGGTAGCGGTGCTGAGTCTATGGCAGTGCTGAGTCTATGGGTAGCAGTGCTGAGTCTATGGGTAGCAGTGCTGAGTCTATGGGTAGCAGTGTTGAGTCTATGGGTAGCAGTGGTGAGTCAATGGGTAGCGGTGCTGAGTCTATGGCAGTGTTGAGTCTATGGGTAGCAGTGCAGAGTCTATGGCAGTGTTGAGTCTATGGGTAGCAGTGCTGAGTCTATGGGTAGCAGTGCTGAGTCTATGGGTAGCAGTGCTGAGTCTATGGGTAGCAGTGCTGAGTCTATGGGTAGCAGTGCTGAGTCTATGGGTAGCAGTGCTGAGTCAATGGGTAGCGGTGCTGAGTCTATGGCAGTGTTGAGTCTATGGGTAGCAGTGCAGAGTCTATGGCAGTGTTGAGTCTATGGGTAGCAGTGCTGAGTCTATGGGTAGCAGTGCTGAGTCTATGGGTAGCAGTGCTGAGTCTATGGGTAGCAGTGCTGAGTCTATGGGTAGCAGTGCTGAGTCTATGGGTAACAGTGCTGAGTCTATGGGTGGCAGTGCTGAGTCTATGGGTAGCAGTGCTGAGTCTATGGGTAGCAGTGCTGAGTCTATGGGTAGCAGTGCTGAGTCTATGGGTAGCAGTGCTGAGTCTATGGCAGTGCTGAGTCTATGGGTAGCGGTGCTGAGTCTATGGCAGTGTTGAGTCTATGGGTAGCAGTGCTGAGTCTATGGGTAGCAGTGCTGAGTCTATGGGTAGCAGTGCTGAGTCTATGGGTAGCAGTGCTGAGTCTATGGGTAGCAGTGCTGAGTCTATGGGTAACAGTGCTGAGTCTATGGGTGGCAGTGCTGAGTCTATGGGTAGCAGTGCTGACTCTATAGGTAGCAGTGCTGAGTCTATGGGTAGCAGTGCTGAGTCTATGGGTAGCAGTGCTGAGTCTATGGGTAGCAGTGTTGAGTCTATGGATAGCGGTGCTGAGTCTATGGGTGGCAGTGCTGAGTCTATGGGTAGCAGTGCTGAGTCTATGGGTAGCAATGCTGAGTCTATGGGTAGCAGTTCTGAGTCTATAGGTAGCAGTGCTGAGTCTATGGGTAGCAGTGCTGAGTCTATGGGTAGCAGTGCTGAGTCTATGGCAGTGCTGAGTCTATGGCAGTGCTGAGTCTATGGCAGTGCTGAGTCTATGGGTGGCAGTGCTGATTCTATGGGTGGCAGTGCTGGGTCTATGGGTAACAGTGTTGAGTCTATGGCAGGGTTGAGTCTATGGCAGTGCTGAGTCTATGGCAGTGCTGAGTCTATGGGTAGCAGTGCTGAGTCTATGGGTAGCAGTGCTGAGTCTATGGGTAGCAGTGCTGAGTCTATGGCAGTGCTGAGTCTATGGGTAGCAGTGCTGAGTCTATGGGTAGCAGTGCTGAGTCTATGGGTAGCAGTGCTGAGTCTATGGGTAGCAGTACTGAGTCTATGGGTAGCAGTGCTGAGTCTATGGGTAGCAGTGTTGAGTCTATGGGTAGCAGTGCTGAGTCTATGGGTAGCAGTGCTGAGTCTATGGGTAGCAGTGCTGAGTCTATGGGTAGCAGTGTTGAGTCTATGGGTAGCAGTGTGAATCTATGGGTAGCAGTACTGAGTCTATGGGTAGCAGTACTGAGTCTATGGGTAGCAGTACTGAGTCGATGGGTAGCAGTGTTGAATCAATGGGTAGCAGTACTGAGTCTATGGTTAGCAGTACTGAGTCGATGGGTAGCAGTGTTGAATCAATGGGTAGCAGTGTGAGTCTATGGCAGTGCTGGGTCTATGGGTAGCAGTGCTGAGTCTATGGGTAGCAGTGCTGAGTCTATGGCAGTGCTGGGTCTATGGGTAGCAGTGCTGAGTCTATGGGTAGCAGTTCTGGGTCTATGGGTAGCAGTGCTGAGTCTATGGGTAGCAGTGCTGAGTCTATGGGTAGCAGTGCTGGGTCTATGGGTAGCAGTGCTGAGTCTATGGGTAGCAGTGCTGAGTCTATGGCAGTGCTGGGTCTATGGGTAGCAGTGCTGAGTCTATGGGTAGCAGTGCGGAGTCTATGGCAGTGCTGGGTCTATGGGTAGCAGTGCTGAGTCTATGGGTAGCAGTGCTGAGTCTATGGGTAGTGGTGCTGGGTCTATGGGTAGCAGTGCTGAGTCTATGGGTAGCAGTGCTGAGTCTATGGGTAGCAGTGCTGGGTCTATGGGTAGCAGTGTTGAGTCTATGGGTAGCAGTGCTGAGTCTATGGCAGTGCTGGGTCTATGGGTAGCAGTGCTGAGTCTATGGGTAGCGGTGCTGAGTCTATGGCAGTGCTGAGTCTATGGGTAGCAGTGCTGAGTCTATGGGTAGCAGTGCTGAGTCTATGGGTAGCAGTGTTGAGTCTATGGGTAGCAGTGGTGAGTCAATGGGTAGCGGTGCTGAGTCTATGGCAGTGTTGAGTCTATGGGTAGCAGTGCTGAGTCTATGGCAGTGTTGAGTCTATGGGTAGCAGTGCTGAGTCTATGGGTAGCAGTGCTGAGTCTATGGGTAGCAGTGCTGAGTCTATGGGTAGCAGTGCTGAGTCTATGGGTAGCAGTGCTGAGTCTATGGGTAGCAGTGCTGAGTCAATGGGTAGCGGTGCTGAGTCTATGGCAGTGTTGAGTCTATGGGTAGCAGTGCAGAGTCTATGGCAGTGTTGAGTCTATGGGTAGCAGTGCTGAGTCTATGGGTAGCAGTGCTGAGTCTATGGGTAGCAGTGCTGAGTCTATGGGTAGCAGTGCTGAGTCTATGGGTAGCAGTGCTGAGTCTATGGGTAACAGTGCTGAGTCTATGGGTGGCAGTGCTGAGTCTATGGGTAGCAGTGCTGAGTCTATGGGTAGCAGTGCTGAGTCTATGGGTAGCAGTGCTGAGTCTATGGGTAGCAGTGCTGAGTCTATGGCAGTGCTGAGTCTATGGGTAGCGGTGCTGAGTCTATGGCAGTGTTGAGTCTATGGGTAGCAGTGCTGAGTCTATGGGTAGCAGTGCTGAGTCTATGGGTAGCAGTGCTGAGTCTATGGGTAGCAGTGCTGAGTCTATGGGTAGCAGTGCTGAGTCTATGGGTAACAGTGCTGAGTCTATGGGTGGCAGTGCTGAGTCTATGGGTAGCAGTGCTGACTCTATAGGTAGCAGTGCTGAGTCTATGGGTAGCAGTGCTGAGTCTATGGGTAGCAGTGCTGAGTCTATGGGTAGCAGTGTTGAGTCTATGGATAGCGGTGCTGAGTCTATGGGTGGCAGTGCTGAGTCTATGGGTAGCAGTGCTGAGTCTATGGGTAGCAGTGCTGAGTCTATGGGTAGCAGTTCTGAGTCTATAGGTAGCAGTGCTGAGTCTATGGGTAGCAGTGCTGAGTCTATGGGTAGCAGTGCTGAGTCTATGGCAGTGCTGAGTCTATGGCAGTGCTGAGTCTATGGCAGTGCTGAGTCTATGGGTGGCAGTGCTGATTCTATGGGTGGCAGTGCTGGGTCTATGGGTAACAGTGTTGAGTCTATGGCAGGGTTGAGTCTATGGCAGTGCTGAGTCTATGGCAGTGCTGAGTCTATGGGTAGCAGTGCTGAGTCTATGGGTAGCAGTGCTGAGACTATGGGTAGCAGTGCTGAGTCTATGGCATTGCTGAGTCTATGGGTAGCAGTGCTGAGTCTATGGGTAGCAGTGCTGAGTCTATGGGTAGCAGTGCTGAGTCTATGGGTATCAGTGCTGAGTCTATGGGTAGCAGTGCTGAGTCTATGGGTAGCAGTGTTGAGTCTATGGGTAGCAGTGCTGAGTCTATGGGTAGCAGTGCTGAGTCTATGGGTAGCAGTGCTGAGTCTATGACAGTGCTGAGTCTATGGGTAGCAGTGCTGAGTCTATGGGTAGCAGTGCTGAGTCTATGGCAGTACTGAGTCTATGGGTAGCAGTACTGAGTCGATGGGTAGCAGTGTTGAGTCTATGGGTAGCAGTGCTGAGTCTATGGGTAGCAGTGCTGGGTCTATGGGTAGCAGTGTTGAGTCTATGGGTAGCAGTGCTGAGTCTATGGCAGTGCTGGGTCTATGGGTAGCAGTGCTGAGTCTATGGGTAGCAGTGCGGAGTCTATGGCAGTGCTGGGTCTATGGGTAGCAGTGCTGAGTCTATGGGTAGCAGTTCTGGGTCTATGGGTAGCAGTGCTGAGTCTATGGGTAGCAGTGCTGAGTCTATGGGTAGCAGTGCTGGGTCTATGGGTAGCAGTGTTGAGTCTATGGGTAGCAGTGCTGAGTCTATGGCAGTGCTGGGTCTATGGGTAGCAGTGCTGAGTCTATGGGTAGCAGTGCTGAGTCTATGGCAGTGCTGGGTATATGGGTATCAGTGCTGAGTCTATGGGTAGCAGTTCTGGGTCTATGGGTAGCAGTGCTGAGTCTATGGGTAGCAGTGCTGGGTCTATGGGTAGCAGTGCTGAGTCTATGGGTAGCAGTGCTGAGTCTATGGGTAGCAGTGCGGAGTCTATGGCAGTGCTGGGTCTATGGGTAGCAGTGCTGAGTCTATGGGTAGCAGTGCTGAGTCTATGGGTAGTGGTGCTGGGTCTATGGGTAGCAGTGCTGAGTCTATGGGTAGCAGTGCTGAGTCTATGGGTAGCAGTGCTGGGTCTATGGGTAGCAGTGTTGAGTCTATGGGTAGCAGTGCTGAGTCTATGGCAGTGCTGGGTCTATGGGTAGCAGTGCTGAGTCTATGGGTAGCAGTGCTGAGTCTATGGGTAGCAGTTCTGGGTCTATGGGTAGCAGTGCTGAGTCTATGGGTAGCAGTGCTGGGTCTATGGGTAGCAGTGCTGGGTCTATGGGTAGCAGTGCTGAGTCTATGGGTAGCAGTGCTGAGTCTATGGGTAGCAGTGCGGAGTCTATGGCAGTGCTGGGTCTATGGGTAGCAGTGCTGAGTCTATGGGTAGCAGTGCTGAGTCTATGGGTAGTGGTGCTGGGTCTATGGGTAGCAGTGCTGAGTCTATGGGTAGCAGTGCTGAGTCTATGGGTAGCAGTGCGGAGTCTATGGCAGTGCTGGGTCTATGGGTAGCAGTGTTGAGTCTATGGGTAGCAGTTCTGAGTCTATAGGTAGCAGTGCTGAGTCTATGGGTAGCAGTGCTGAGTCTATGGGTAGCAGTGCTGAGCCTATGGCAGTGCTGAGTCTATGGCAGTGCTGAGTCTATGGGTAGCAATGCTGAGTCTATGGGTAGCAGTGCTGAGTCTATGGGTAGCAGTGCTGAGTCTATGGGTAGCAGTGCTGAGTCTATGGGTAGCAGTGCTGAGTCTATGGGTAGCAGTGCTGAGTCTATGGGTGACAGTGCTGAGTCTATGGGTGACAGTGCTGGGTCTATGGGTGACAGTGCTGAGTCTATGGGTGACAGTGCTGAGTCTATGGGTGACAGTGCTGAGTCTATGGGTGACAGTGCTGAGTCTATGGGTAACAGTGCTGAGTCTATGGGTGACAGTGCTGGGTCTATGGGTGACAGTGCTGAGTCTATGGGCAGCAGTGCTGAGTCTATGGCAGTGCTGAGTCTATAGGTAGCAGTGCTGGGTCTATGGATAGCGGTGCTGAGTCTATGGGTAGCAGTGCTGAGTCTATGGGTAGCAGTGCTGAGTCTATGGGTAGCAGTGCTGAGTCTATGGGTGACAGTGCTGAGTCTATGGGTGACAGTGCTGAGTCTATGGGTGGCAGTGTTGAGTCCATGGGTAGCAGTGCTGAGTCTATGGGTGGCAGTGCTGAGTCTATGGGTAACAGTGCTGAGTCTATGGGTAGCAGTGCTGAGTCTATGGGTAGCAGTGCTGAGTCTATGGGTAGCAGTGCTGAGTCTATGGGTGACAGTGCTGAGTCTATGGGTGACAGTGCTGGGTCTATGGGTGACAGTGCTGAGTCTATGGGTGGCAGTGTTGAGTCCATGGGTAGCAGTGCTGAGTCTATGGGTGGCAGTGCTGAGTCTATGGGTAACAGTGCTGAGTCTATGGGTGACAGTGCTGAGTCTATGGGTAACAGTGCTGAGTCTATGGGTGACAGTGCTGAGTCTATGGCAGTGCTGAGTCTATGGGTGACAGTGCTGGGTCTATGGGTAGCAGTGCTGAGTCTATGGGTAGCAGTGATGAGTCTATGGGTAGCAGTGCTGAGTCTATGGGTAGCAGTGCTGAGTCTATGGGTAGCAGTGCTGAGTCTATGGGTAGCAGTGTTGAGTCTATGGGTAGCAGTGTTGAGTCTATGGGTGACAGTGCTGGGTCTATTGCCGTACCGTGAGGAGTCGTTGGATCAGGAGGGGGGGTATCTGGAGCGAGATCCTCAAACAGGGACTCCTCACTCTGCGTACACACACAGAGACACACGCACACAGTCACACAGACACACACAGAGACACACAGAAAGACACAGAGAGACACAGAGACACATACAGAGACACAGACACACACAGAGACACACAGAGACACACAGAGAGACACAGAGACACACACACAGAGACAAAGACATACACAGAGAGACACACAGATACACAGAGACACACACAGAGACACACACAGACGACACACACAAAGACAAACACAGTCACACAGACACAGAGACACACAGAGACACACAGGGAGACACAGAGACACACAGACACAGAGACAAACAGACACACAGCGACACACACAGAGACACACACAGAGACACACACAGACACACACAGAGACACACACAGAGACACACACAGAGACACACACAGTGAAAACACACAGAGACACACACAGAGACACACACAGAGACACACACAGAGACACACACAGTGAAAACACACAGAGACACACACAGAGACACACAGAGACACACAGAGACACACACACAGACACACACAGAGGAGGTGGAGGAGGGAGGCTGTGGGCACCTCAACGGTGGAGGAGGAGGTGGAGGCTCCGTCAAGGGAGGCGCCGAGCGGCAGGGAGGCGCTGGTGGAGGTCTCCGTAGAGTCACCCAACCACAGATCCTGCGGCATACTCACCGTCACTCACCACTCACTCACCGTCACTCACCACTCATTCACCGTCACTCACCGTCACTCACCACTCACTCACTACTGTCACTCACCACTCACTCACTCACTCACCACTCACTCATTCACACACTCACTCACCACTCACTCACCGTCACTCACCGTCACTCACTCACCGTCACTCACCACTCACTCACTCACTCACCGTCACTCACCACTCACTCACTCACCACTCACCGTTACTCACCACTCACTCACTCACTCACCCACTCACTCACCACTCACTCACTCACCGTCACTCACCACTCCCTCACTCCTCACTCACTCACCACTCACTCACTCACTCACCGTCACTCACCACTCACTCACCACTCACTCACCGTCACTCACCACTCACTCACCACTCACTCACCACTCACTCACACACCCACTCACTCACCACTCACTCACCACTCACTCACACACCCACTCACTCACCACTCACTCACCACTCAATCACCGTCACTCACCACTAACTCAACACTCACTCACCACTCCTTCACTCACTCACCACTCACTCACCATTCGCTCACCACGACACTCACTCACCACTCATTCACTCACCACGACACTCACTCACCACTCACTCACTCACCACCACATTCACCACTACACACTCACTCACCACTCACTCACCACCACACACACTCACCACTCACCACCACACACTCACCACACTCACCACTCACTCACCGTCACTCACCACTCAATCACCATTCACTCACCACCACACACTCACCACTCACCACCACACACTCACCACTAACTCACTCACTCACTCCTCACCACACACTAAACACTCACCACTCACTCACCACACACTCACTGACCACTCACTCACCACTCACCAAACACTCACCACTCACTCACCACGATACTCACCACTCACTCACCATTACTCACCACGACACTCACCACTCACTCACCGTCACTCACCACGATACTCACCACTCACACACTCACCCACCACTCACTCACCACTAACTCACTCACCACTCACTCACCACACACTCACTCACCACTCACTCACTCACCACTCACTTATGACACACTCACCACTCACTCACCACCACTCACCACCACACAATCACCACACACACTCACCACTCACCACCACACACTCACCACTCACTCACCACACACACACTCACCACACTCACCACCACACACAACCACCACACACTCACCACAAACTCATCACCGCAAACTCACCACCGGACACTCACCACTAACTCACCGCACACTCACCACTCAATCACCACACACTCACCGTCACTCACCACATACTCACCACCACACACTCACTGACCACACACTCACCACACACTCGCCACACACAATCACCCACCACACTCACCCCCACACACTCACCACTCACTCACTCCCTCACCACACACTCACCACACACTCACCCACCGCACACTCTCCACACAGTCACCACCAAACACTCACCACCACACACTCACCATACTCACCACATACTCACCACACACTCACCGCACACTATAGGTAGCAGTGATGAGTCTACCCATAGACTCAGTCTACCCATAGACTCATCACTGCTACCCATAAACTCAGCACTGTCACCCATAGACTCAGCACTGTCACCCATAGACTCAGCACTGCTACCCATAGACTCAGCACTGTCACCCATAGACTCAGCACTGCTACCCATTGACTCAACACTGCTACCCATAGACTCAGCATTGCTACCCATAGACTCAGCACTGTCACCCATAGACTCAGCACTGCTACCCATTGACTCAACACTGCTACCCATAGACTCAGCATTGCTACCCATAGACTCAACACTGCCATAGACTCAGCACTGCTACCCATAGACTCAACACTGCTACCCATAGACTCAGCACTGCCACCCATAGACTCAACACTGCCATAGACTCATCACTGCTACCCATAGACTCAGCACTGCTACCCATAGACTCAGCACTGCTACCTATAGACTCAGCACTGCTACCCATAGACTCAGCACTGCTACCCATAGACTCAGCACTGCTACCCATAGACTCAGCACTGCTACCCATAGACTCAGCACTGCTACCCATAGACTCAGCACTGCTACCCATAGACTCAACACTGCTACCCATAGCCTCAGCACTGCTACCCATAGGCTCAGCGCTGCTACCCATAGACTCAGCACTGCTACCCATAGACTCAGCACTGCTACCCATAGACTCATCACTGCTACCCATAGACTCAGCACTGCTACCCAAAGACTCATCACTGCTACCCATAGACTCATCACTGCTACCCATAGACTCAGCACTGCTACCCATAGACTCAACACTGCCATAGACTCAGCACTGCTACCCATAGACTCAGCACTGCTACCCATAGACTCAGCACTGCTACCCATAGACTCAGCACTGCTACCCATAGACTCATCACTGCTACCCATAGACTCAACACTGCCATAGACTCAGCACTGCCATAGACTCAGCACTGCCATAGACTCAGCACTGCTACCCATAGACTCAGCACTGCCATAGACTCAGCACTGCTACCCATAGACTCAGCACTGCTACCCATAGACTCAGCACTGCTACCCATAGACTCAGCACTGCTACCCATAGACTCAACACTGCTACCCATAGCCTCAGCACTGCTACCCATAGGCTCAGCGCTGCTACCCATAGACTCAGCACTGCTACCCATAGACTCATCACTGCTACCCATAGACTCATGACTGCTACCCATAGACTCAGCACTGCTACCCAAAGACTCATCACTGCTACCCATAGACTCATCACTGCTACCCATAGACTCAACACTGCTACCCATAGACTCAGCACTGCTACCCATAGACTCAACACTGCCATAGACTCAGCACTGCTACCCATAGACTCAGCACTGCTACCCATAGACTCAGCACTGCCATAGACTCATCACTGCTACCCATAGACTCAACACTGCCATAGACTCAGCACTGCCATAGACTCAGCACTGCTACCCATAGACTCAGCACTGCCATAGACTCAGCACTGCTACCCATAGACTCAGCACTGCTACCCATAGACTCAACACTGCTACCCATAGACTCAGCACTGCTACCCATAGACTCAGCACTGCTACCCTTAGACTCAACATTGCTACCCATAGACTCAACACTGCCATGGACTCAGCACTGCTACCCATAGACTCAACACTGCTACCCATAGACTCAGCACTGCCACCCATAGACTCAACACTGCCATAGACTCAGCACTGCTACCCATAGACTCAGCACTGCCATAGACTCATCACTGCTACCCATAGACTCAGCACTGCTACCCATAGACTCAGCACTGCTACCTATAGACTCAGCACTGCTACCCATAGACTCAGCACTGCTACCCATAGACTCAGCACTGCTACCCATAGACTCAGCACTGCTACCCATAGACTCAGCACTGCTACCCATAGACTCAGCACTGCTATCCATAGACTCAACACTGCTACCCATAGCCTCACCACTGCTACCCATAGGCTCAGCGCTGCTACCCATAGACTCAGCACTGCCATAGACTCATCACTGCTACCCATAGACTCAGCACTGCTACCCAAAGACTCATCACTGCTACCCATAGACTCATCACTGCTACCCATAGACTCAGCACTGCTACCCATAGACTCAACACTGCCATAGACTCAGCACTGCTACCCATAGACTCAGCACTGCTACCCATAGACTCAGCACTGCTACCCATAGACTCAGCACTGCTACCCATAGACTCAGCACTGCTACCCATAGACTCAGCACTGCTACCCATAGACTCAACACTGCTACCCATAGCCTCAGCACTGCTACCCATAGGCTCAGCGCTGCTACCCATAGACTCAGCACTGCTACCCATAGACTCAGCACTGCCATAGACTCATCACTGCTACCCATAGACTCAGCACTGCTACCCAAAGACTCATCACTGCTACCCATAGACTCATCACTGCTACCCATAGACTCAACACTGCTACCCATAGACTCAGCACTGCTACCCATAGACTCAACACTGCCATAGACTCAGCACTGCTACCCATAGACTCAGCACTGCTACCCGTAGACTCAACACTGCTACCCATAGACTCAGCACTCCTACCCATAGACTCATCACTGCTACCCATAGACTCAGCACTGCTACCCATAGACTCAGCACTGCTACCCATAGACTCAGCACTGCCATAGACTCATCACTGCTACCCATAGACTCAGCACTGCCACCCATAGACTCAACACTGCCATAGACTCAGCACTGCTACCCATAGACTCAGCACTGCCATAGACTCATCACTGCTACCCATAGACTCAACACTGCTACCCATAGCCTCAGCACTGCTACCCATAGGCTCAGCGCTGCTACCCATAGACTCAGCACTGCTACCCATAGACTCAGCACTGCCATAGACTCATCACTGCTACCCATAAACTCAGCACTGCTACCCAAAGACTCATCACTGCTACCCATAGACTCATCACTGCTACCCATAGACTCAACACTGCTACCCATAGACTCAGCACTGCTACCCATAGACTCAACACTGCCATAGACTCAGCACTGCTACCCATAGACTCAGCACTGCTACCCATAGACTCAACACTGCTACCCATAGACTCAGCACTCCTACCCATAGACTCATCACTGCTACCCATAGACTCAGCACTGCTACCCATAGACTCAACACTGCTACCCATAGACTCAGCACTGCTACCCATAGACTCAACACTGCTACCCATAGACTCAGCACTGCCACCCATAGACTCAACACTGCCATAGACTCAGCACTGCTACCCATAGACTCAGCACTGCCATAGACTCATCACTGCTACCCATAGACTTAGCACTGCTACCCATAGACTCAGCACTGCTACCTATAGACTCAGCACTGCTACCCATAGACTCAGCACTGCTACCCATAGACTCAACACTGCTACCCATAGCCTCAGCACTGCTACCCATAGG